ATTGTTTTAGAGAGCTGAATGCAGTTATTATTACACACAGATCATTTACTCTGCCTCATGTGCTTCAAAACCCAGAAGACTTTGGCTAATCTTTGAAACAAATTATGAAACCTAAATAAAACCTGAGAGGTTTCTGTTCCTCCATTAAACGTCCAGGAAACCAAAACTTAGAAGATCCAAAAAGCATGTGAATAAAAGCCTAAATTCTCAAGACTTGGATTAAACTGCTAGATTTATATGGATTGGTTGTATAACACCTTCATGACATTTTCTCATATGATTGTCACTCTGCACTGCAAAATCAAGTCTTGTGTGTTCTGTGTTTTTAGTAAAATTTTGTTTTCTTCACAGATTTATCCAGATCTACACTGACTGTGACTCCAGACAGTCCTGTGTTCACTGGAGAGACAGTCACTCTGAAGTGTGTGATTGAGTCTCACAGTAACTGGAGATATGAGTGGTATAAAGGCACAGACAGTGTAATGTTACAGACGTCTGATCGTTACACTGTAAACAGAGACACTCTCACTATCAGACGAGTAATTACATCTGATCAGGATCAGTACACGTGTAGAGGACAGAGAGATAAAAGACCAAACTCATCACAATCAAGCTCTGTTTCTCTCTCTGTGACGGGTGAGTTGAATATCACTGTCCTCATAAACTCACTTTACTGTTATGTTATGGTCAATATGAATGTCACACTTTCTTTTGCGCATTTAATGCATTTAATCTCACTATTCATTTGTAGTAACCTAAATCTCATGACACAGAGACAAATGATGAAATGCAGAAACAAAACATAACTACTGGTTAAAAAAAAGCTGGTTATGGATGCTAGATCTGATATAACAGTGGTTGTGTATTATTATTTTTTTCACTGTCCGCCTTCACAAGCTTTAACTTGTACACAGAACAACTCACAGGGAAGCACTGCTGCAGTGAAATAATTCTCACTGCCAGAACATTATACGTGACCAGAAACAGACGTTATAACTCAGTGTAAGGAGGGTGTTTCAGAGTAGAGGGAGAGAATAGGGTCATTTATTAACAACACATAATCAGCAGTAGATCCAGACAACAAAGACGAAGGCAAAAACAGAATAAAGCCAGACAAAGGGTAAAGAAGGCAAGACTGCACTGAAAACAACACAGACACATCCATAAAGGACACCAGACAAAGAACAAGCAAAAGACTGGAGTTTAAACACACTGCGTAACAAGAGGCTGATTAATCCTCATCGAAACAGACGAAAGTAACTGTGGTAACAAACAAGGCACATAGCAAACAGGAACTAGACACAGGAAGTGAAGAGAGGCAAGGAACCAAATATACTTTAAAATAAAAGTCCTTAAACACAAAACAGAGGAACACAAGACAGCAATATAACACTCCGTCACTGAAAGTTCAGACTGTCCAGGTGTTTCACAGCAGATCATCTTTAGTGAGTATGATACAGAGACAAATAAAGCTGTAAAGTGGAACATTTCTCAGTGATAATTAATCATTATGGCAGTTATACTCAAAGTTTGTTAGTTATTTTTTTTCTTAATCATATGTTATGCATTCATGTAAGCAAAAAAAAAAAAAAAAGAAAGCTAAGAAACAGGTTAACGATTCATTCCTTTACTAGTGGAAATAAAAGTTAATATTTAAAGTTCTCAGTGTAATTAATTAAATAAATACATACATACACACACTATGAGACCATCACTCTTCTCTCCACATCTCTCCTCTTTAACATCAGTGTTACACAAATACAGGAACTCAGAGGATCAGATCATGTTTCTGACTAGTTCCCTGAAAGAGCTCCGTCTTCTTTCTTCACAGATTTACCCAGATCTACACTGACTGTGACTCCAGACAGTCCTGTGTTCACTGGAGAGACAGTCACTCTGAAGTGTGTGATTGAGTCTTACAGTTACTGGAGACGGAGAAATGGCCAAACACAGGACTGGAGATATGACTGGACACCTGAGTGGAGATATGAGTGGAATAAAGGCAGAGACAGTGTAAAGTTACAGACGTCTGATCGTTACACTGTAAACAGAGACACTCTCACTATCAGAGGAGTAATTACAGCTGATCAGGAATATTACACGTGTAGAGGACAGATCAGTCTATGGAGAAACTGTATGCGGTTTACAGTCCATCTCAGGCGTCGTAGCCTGAACTTCTGTACATAGTTTACACACTATAAACTGCAGACACAGTGAGGGTCGTACAGTTGTGTGCTGTGCTGATCCAAACACCTCAATCTGAACAGAGATGTAAAACACTAGGCTTCATACACTTACCGACTTTATAAATAGTGATAGAGGAAAACTGGCCATCATACACTACACGACTCACACAGAAACGTGCGCCTTGTTGCCAGGAGACACTTGACAAATAAAAATAACGTGTTCTTAAATCTGCTGAAAATATCAAACATGTTTGACTGGGTGGAATCAGAGTCTGACCAGAGCAGACTGTGTGCACTACATGCCATTCACCGTACAGAAAATACCATCTTCTGTGAACAAATGACTGATTTGAGCCACAGCTTCAGCGTCTGTTAATAGGGGGCGGGACGCTTCAGATTCTAGAGAGTATTTGATTGGACAGAAAGTTTGATGAGAAGCTGAAGTGTTGGGGGATGTCATTAACACTGTTGATCCATATTGGCAGAAGCGAGAGACTGTACGTTTTGAATGCTTAATTTTTGTAAATGTGAATTTTGTCTTTGTTTTGGAACACACTAGCTTATAGATAATGTTAAGGCTAACATATTCATACTGAAATCCAAAAAACTTTAAGGTGATGAACACAAAGACCAAGTACAAACTGTAGCTAGATTCAGTTCAGAATGCAGTTGTCAGTTTTGTAAATAAGCAAACTTTGTGTGTAAAACAGTGTTCAGCACTGAATTAGCTTGATAGAAGCACAGTATAGTGATGCCAGTGTACACTGTTTAAAAGCTTCTTCTCAACAATGAATGCCACTCTGATGATGGCACTTATTCTGTCCTATCTGTACCTGAAAAAAATTTAACTTCATAAGGTTACAGATTATGTTCTAAAAATTCTTAAACCACTTCTCAATAATTGGAGTAATATTTTGACCAAAAGCTCAAATTTTTACGAACCTGCATGACTTTACTCCCTGGAACACAAATGGCATCACAATTGAAAGCACTGGCTGCTCTTTTCAACACAACAATAATGAATGAGGACCAGTGGCTCTTAAAAATGACAAAAATCACCAGTAAATTATTGATATGTCTGTTACACAAAAAGTAGTTTAACATATTTATTTCTTTATAACAGCATGAAATTAGGTATTTTTCTGAGAACACATATAGACAGTTTCCGTATTCAGTTAAGACTGAATCTACAAGCTCCCAAATATAAAGATTGAGATTATATGTAAAGATCATACGGATGTAACACTTCAATGTAAGTCTCACAATGGGTTATTTGTCTGCTTTTATCTTGATCAGATTCACCCAGATCTACACTGACTGTGACTCCAGACAGTCCTGTGTTCACTGGAGAGACAGTCACTCTGAAGTGTGAGAGTGAGTCTTACAGTAACTGGAGATATGAGTGGAATAAAGGTACAAACAACAGTGTAATGTTACAGACGTCTGAGCGTTACACTGTAAACAGAGACACTCTCACTATCAGAGGAGTAATTACAGCTGATCAGGATCAGTACTGGTGTAGAGGACAGAGAGATAAAAGACCAAAATCATCACAGGAGAGTAAACGAATACATCTGTCTGTTAATGGTGAGTAAATACTGTGATAAACACTAACATTACCAAGCACTACATGATGCACAAAAAAAGAAAGTAATTATCAGTTTTGGGTGGTTTAAACATACCTGCTTTTAGCAAAACAAGGTTTATTATAGAATGTGTCGGATGCATAAACGTCCTGTGTTCACTGGAGAGACAGTCACTCTGAAGTGTGAGAGTGAGTCTTACAGTAACTGGAGATATGAGTGGAATAAAGGTACAAACAACAGTGTAATGTTACAGACGTCTGAGCGTTACACTGTAAACAGAGACACTCTCACTATCAGAGGAGTAATTACAGCTGATCAGGATCAGTACTGGTGTAGAGGACAGAGAGATAAAAGACCAAAATCATCACAGGAGAGTAAACGAATACATCTGTCTGTTAATGGTGAGTAAATACTGTGATAAACACTAACATTACCAAGCACTACATGATGCACAAAAAAAGAAAGTAATTATCAGTTTTGGGTGGTTTAAACATACCTGCTTTTAGCAAAACAAGGTTTATTATAGAATGTGTCGGATGCATAAACATAAATGCTATCTTTCTGATGAAATTAGTGTTATACCCAGCGGGGGCATGGGTGTAAAGTCAGAAGTCTGGGAATAATGAGTGATTTTATGTACCTTTGTAATAGTATAATGCAGTATGTCACTCATGAACAGATCTGCATGTTTGTCATGTTCTCCTGTCTCGCAGCTTCATCTTCTCTTCTGGTCATTGGTGTGGTTGTGGGATCGAGTGTTTTGTTGTTGTTCTTCATCTCACTGCTGCTGCTGTGGAGATACAAGAAGAACAAAGGTGTGGAGCAGTTCATGACATGATTAATACAACTGAACAGCAACAAATGAAAGATACAGTTTATGAATAAAGGCTCATGATAAGATCTAAATTTCAGCCTAAAGAGTCACTGTAATCACTGCAGATACTCGTAAGTGACCATAATGCTCTTTGTTTCTATTATAGATCAGCAGCGTAACATTAACCAGACATCAGTCCCAAATCAATCTGGAGAATCTCAACCCCAAAAATCTCCTCTACAGTCTGGTCAGGCTCAATAACTAATCATTTAAAGTGATAGTCTTCTGTGGATATTTTCAAAATGGTCTCAGTTGCTTTATTTTTTTTCCATACAAGTAAAGTCAGTGGGGCCTAATGGTGATTGGACACCAGAACATTCTTCCAATTTTTTTAACTATTCCTTTAAACTAATATATATATATATCTTTGTACCTTTTATCCTCAAATGCTTGTTTGCTGTCCAGCAGGTTCTGATCACATTTATGACGTTGTGACTGAAGTGAATAAGAGAGATAAAGGTTGATTCATAAGCCTAATTTAAACGCATATCATTCAAAATCAACAAATAATCATTAATTTAATCATATAAGCTTTTTTTAAGGTGATCCGAAGCCATTGGCAGATGTCACATATTCAGAGGTCACTGTCAAGAAAAACAAGAAAAAGATGGACAAAGGTTAACATACATTCTCTTAACTTCACCTGAACAATATGGTCATCGTCAGAAACATTAATACTTTTCTAATTAATTAAATAAAAGTGCATATTTCTTTCTGATATTTTTTTTCTAGATGATAGCATGCCAGAGCCAAATGATGTGACATACTCAGAAGTCAGAAACAAAGTAAAGAAATCCAAAAGCAAAGGTGAGATCCTGTTTTTCCTAAAGTACAATATTTCCAGCTTGTTCTGAACACTTTGACTGATCCTCTGTTCTGTATTATATATTAATACTGCAGGACCCAGTGATCTGGTTTATGCACAGATTGATTTACAGGACAAAAAGAAAACCAAAGGCAAAGGTAAACACACACCAAACTGCATCATCACATTTCATCACATTTAACGCTGATAAAGTAATTTTATCAGAAAAAATAAACCCTTTACAAACATAAAGACTGATAGAACCAATTACATTTTTTAGAAACACAAAAGCACATAACATTCACATCTGCCTGCTTCTGCGTTCCTGAATTTAGATCAGAAATAAAACAGGCCTATAGCCAGAGAGTCACATAACCAACCTCTTGTTTTTCATGATAGGGGCTGGACTTCGTAATATTCTGTTTGAAATGAAATCTAAGGACAAACAAAGAGGTAAATAAAGAGATGATCTGAAATGTTGTCATCAGCAGGTTACAGATCATGTGAAAATGTTTAAAATAATATAGCCTAAACATTTTTACAGAACCTGCTAATAAAATAAAATAATTAGAATGATTGATTGTAATTAACATTTTTAATCAATATACTCTTCTGTGGTTTCTTTGTGGTTTGAGCCATCGTTCCGTCCTCATATGATCAGTTATTAATGTAGTTCAAATGTCTGTTGTTCTGTATCAGGAAAGAGCAGTGAGTCTGGAGACACTTTGTACTCTGAACTGAAGCACAACACAGACAGAGGTGAGAGAAACACAAAGTCAAGCTTCATCACTTTTACAGTCAAACCACTCACCTTAAGAATGAACCATCAAGCACCGTTTCTGCTACACATCACAATGATTCCTAAAGTCACGTGGCTTGTTGAAGAAAATCATGTATTTTATCATTAGTTTGCTGTTATTTATCATTTGTGTTCTTCAGGTGCTGATGCTGGTGATGCAACCTATGCTCAACCTATGAGGAAGAAGAATAAACCACGTAAGAATTATGTTACAATTATACAATCATTTTTACAATAACTGAAAATGTCATAGTTTCCACTCGTCCGTGTAAATTGTGGCATGTATTGATTATTTTACATTATACATCTGCTTTAAATGATTCAGTTATTTGTGATGATCAGAGGTTCATTGTGATCTTAAAACTTATTCGTCAAGAGAATGAGCTCATTATTCACATCACCTGCATAATGCATCATCTTTTATCTGCATGATCTGTTTAAAGGTCCCTGAGTGCAGTGAAGACAACAGACGGCTAAAAAAGATTCACAGCAGCAGACACTGTGACGCTTTGCTTAAGAAATTAATCTGAGTGAACTGCTGACGCACGTGCTTGAGTAAATTACTTTAGAGATACATATAACCTCTGTACACGTATTATGTAAGCAAAACAAATGCCTCTCTAGAATATTAGTTTTTTTCTCCAGTGTTAGATCATGCTTCCACGCCAGATAATTAAGATGAAGCCCCGGACGCCAGATCCCATCAGAAAATATCTGTTATTTCTGGTAACAGAACAACTCGTCAGCAAAGTAGTGTAATACCCAAAACCTGTTAACAGGAAGTCTTGTCTGGTACCCAAAATACCCAAAACTCTATTAACTGTCTTCTATCAGCCAATAAGTTGAATGATTAAATGATAAATTACTATAAATTAATATAAAAGAAAGAAAGTAAAACACAACACAAATGTATGGTTGCTTTCTTGACACAAAACACATGCATTTGAGGATGATCAGATCCTTCACAGGTGAGCACTTATGTTTAACACTGCTCTAAAGATATTATTACATTAGTATATAATTGTTGTGCTGCCAGTAGAACCAACAGAATAAAAAAGTGTTTGATTAATAGATATAAATACAGTGATTTTTTTTTTGTGTTATAAGATTATCCAAATTTAATAGAAGAAAATTATTGGTCATCCAATTTTTTAAATTTTTAACACACTCTGTTAGCTTAGATAATTTAGAAGTTTCATCTGGTCTTGTTAAAATATATAGTTGAGTATCATCAGCATAGCAGTGGACACTAATCCCGTATTTTCTAATAATATTACCGAGGGGCAACATATATATTGAAAATAGCAGATGACCTAGGACAGATCCTTGTGGCACTCCACACTTTACTGGTGACAATTGGGATGACTCACCGTTTAAATGAACAAAGTGGTAGCAATCGGATAGGTAGGATCTAAACAATTTTAAATCCTGCCCTTGAATACCCATATAGTTTTGTAATCAATCTATGAATATGTCATGATCTATGGTGTCGAACGCAGCACTAAGATCAAGTAAAACTAGCAATGAGATGCAGCCTTGGTCTGATGCAAGAAGCAAGCCCTTTGTAATTTTAACAAGTGCAGTTTCTGTGCTATGGTGGGGCCTGAAACCTGAAAATCTTCTACAGATACTTTTTTTTCAGGAAGGAGCACAATTGAGCAGACACAACTTTTTCTAAAATTATAGACATAAACGGAATATTTTTCAAATGCGTCTGTAATTTGCCAGTTCAATAGGATCTAGTTGAGGTTTCTTATTAAGAGGCTTAATAACCGCCTGCTTGAATGGTTTTTGGGATGTGACTCCAAAGACAACGATGAGTTAATAATATTGAGAAGCGGTTTTTCTGCTACAGGTAAAAACTCTTTCAGTAATTTAGTGGGTACAGGATCTAATAAACATGTTGTTGGTTTAGATGCAGTGATAAGTTAATTTAGCTCTTCCTGTCCTATAGTTGTAAAGCACTGCAGTTTATCTTTGGATGTGATGAACGAAACCGAAGTATTAGACGCTATAGAATCTACATTTGTTATTGTATGTCTGATGTTATCTATTTTATCAGTGAAGAAATGCATAAAGTCATTACTGTGCTGCCTTCAAATGCAACAAGAAAATTAAACTGAAGAGCAACAGTCAGAAAGATTTATGTCTGCAAGAAGTGCGGACAGCAAGTAAATTCAGTCAAAATCAGCAAAATCCTCAAAAAGAAGCAGACAGTTTTCCATTGGTTCTGCAGCTATCAGAGCAAGAGCTAAGGCTGAAGCGGGCCGTGCACAGCTGTCCTTTGCTGAACAAGAAGCTGATGTAATAAAGAAAAAAGCTGATTTAGAAGCAAGTCTACATGTTCTTAAAAGTAGAAAGGCAGTTGCTGTTGCATTAGCGAAGGCTGCGGCTTATGAAGAAGCAATTGAAAGTAGAGAGTTAGTTGAGGAACCCCAAGTCCCCGAACAACCTCTCAGCCCAGCTGAACCGACTAATGATTATGTGCAAAAGCTCTCACAAGCATGTCTTGAAGACATCCATACATGGTA